TAAAATCTAAATGTTAAAATTTACAGCAGCTCCRCATCTTTGTGTGCTGCTGGTGTTGTGTGTCCTGCAGGACAGCTGCTGCTCTGGGTGGTTTGGCACACACGTGGCATCTGTTTGCTGTCACTGAACTTCACCTGAGTGCCATGGCCATGCAGGGAGGGTGCAGGGCAGGGTGACAGGGCCAAGGGCAGCCTTGGAGGGAGGCTCTGACCCCTGTGAGGATCAGCCTTTGCATGTTTGTTTGCTGCRCATGTTTCCTTCACCACCACATGAATTCCAGTGAAGACGATCCTGCCACGCTTCATTTGTTTTTAAATCACARAGATATCTAGGTAAGTGAATTACTTTAGAAGAAGGTGTTCCCTGGTTTCTAACAAACCCTGATATTAAGTACTTTTATTTTTTTTCCCCATATGAAAATAACTCCTGCAAGTCGCTGGTGTTCAGCCAGGTGGGACAGCCAAGCACACCAAAGGTGTGACATCCTTTGTCACCTCCATTCACAGCTTCCCAGGCAAGGAAACAAAACCCATCGTTTGTGGATGATCACTGATGGCCATGGCTCAAACCCTGTCACTGCAGCTGCAGGGACCTTTCACACCCCCCTCCCATCAAAGGCACGGCARTGAAACCTCATTTGGCTCTCAGAGRWGTCAGAGGCGCTGTGCAGGCTGTCCTTGCTGCCAGAGATGGGGGCACTGGGAACCACAGCTGGGCTGCCACCATGCTCACCCAGCACCAGCCCTCCCTGCAGTGAGACCCACTTAAACACGAGATTGTTTCCTGGGCAGAAAGGGAAGGAAAGAAAGGAAATATCAAAGTAATGTTTAATATTTTAAATTTTTTTAAATTATTTTTTATGTCTCTAATGATGTAAACTTGCTGAAATGACATTTTATTCCCTGAATGCAGCAGTCCCGTGTTGTGCCTGGATGCAGATCCAGCTCAGGAGGCAAGCAGCCCAGGATGGCAGGGACGTGAATCCTCGATTTTGGGCTAAGCCTGGTGGCGTCTGTCATTTTTCAGCTGGTTGTTTTATCTCTCCCTACTCTGGGAAGGGTATCTTGACACAGACGGTTTGCAGAGCCATTTCAGCTGTTCAGGCAGCTCAGCCACAATATGTTGCCTCAAATTGTTCTGTTAAGCACATGCATCAGCTGTTTTTGTTTGCCTTGAAGCTGTGAAAACCAGAGACCCTCCTGAGAAAATTTAGCTTCTGTATAGAAATAAAGAGCCTGAAAACGCTCTCAARTGTACAACTGCCACACGAGGCGGTGATCTGCAGCCCTGCCACGGCCAGTGAAGCTCTTTAGATTGTAGATTGTATCGTTAGCTGCTGCACTCCCAAAGCCTTGAAACCTGGAGCTGCAGCCAGGAGGGCTGGGCTGCCCTTCCAAGGGCTGGGAGCTCCCTGGAGCTGC